TAACAAATGTTGGCAAGGATGTGAGGAAAAAGGTACACTCCTACATTGTTGGTGGGACTGCAAATTAGTGCGACCACTATGGAAAGGAGTGTGGAGACACCTCAGAAAACTTGGAATGGATCCACCATTTGACCCAGCTATCCCACTCCTCTGTTTGTACCCAAAGGACTTAAAATCACCATACTATAATGATGAAGCCACATCAATGTTTATAGCAGCTTAATTCACAATAGTTAAACTATGGAACCAACCTAGATGTCCTTCAACAGATAAACAGATAAAGAAAATGTGGTACATATACATAATGGAATATTACTCAGCCTTAAAGAAGAATGAAATTATGGCATTTGCAAGTAAATGGATGGAACTAGAGAATATCATGCATATTATTTCACTTATGAAATAAGCCAATCCCAAAACCCAAAAGCTGAATGTTTTCTCTGATAAGTGGATGCTGATCCCTAATGGGGCAGGGGGAGAGGAAAGAATGAAGGAACTTTGGTTTGTGTAGAGGAAAGTGAGGGGAGGGGTGGGGTTATGAGGACAGAAGGGACAGTAGAATGAGACAGACATTATTACCCTATATACATGTATGATTACACTACTGGAGTGACTCTGAACCATGTATAACCAGAAGAATGAAAAGTTGTGCTCCATTTGTGTACAATATGTCAAAATGAATTCTGTAAAACATATTAATTAATTAGTTTTTTTAAAAAGGATATATAGAGAAGGATACAAGGATAAACTCAAAACTCCATCAAAAAACTTAGAACTGAAACAAATTCAGTAAGGTTGCAAAGTACAAAATCAATATGCAAAAATCAGTAACATTTTAATACACCAATAACAAAATAGCTGAGGTAAATCAAGAAAGCAATCTCACTTACAATAGCTACAAAAAAATAACAAAACAACTAGAGAATGATTTCTACAATAAAAATTACAAAACAATTATGAAAGAAAATGAAGAGGACTCCAAAAATGGAAAGATATCCCATATTCATGATTGAAGAATATTTTTTAAATGTTCTTACTACCCAAAGCTATTTATATGCAATTCCAATGCAACTCCAATCAATGCAACTCCATTCAGAATAAAAATGACCTTCACAGAACTAGAAAAAAAAAATCATAAAATTAACATGGAACCACAAAAAAGTCCTGAATAGCCAAAGCAATCCTGATCAAAAAAGAACAAAGTTAAAGTCAATACAACACCTGACTTCAAAACACATTACAATATTCAAAACATATTACAATAACAATATTGTTATTACAATAACAAAGCTATAATAACAAAATCAGCTTGGTACTAGCTTAAAAACAGCTAAAAGTTCAAAGGTACAGAATGAAGAACCCAGAAATAAATCTACCTACTTACAGTCAACTGATTTTTGACAAAGGTAGTAAGAACATACATTGGAGAACACAAAATTACTTGACCTCTTTCTTTCACTATGTACAAAAATTAACTCAGAAATTAATCCAAAGACTTAAATGTAAGATTCATTCAAATTACTAGAAAGAAAGCATAGGGGAAATACTCCAGAACACTGATCTAAACAAAACTTTTTGCCAAAAAAGTACAGGCAACAAAAGCAAAAATTGACAAACAGAACTATATCAAATTAAAGAGGTTATTACACCAAAAGAATCAACAGCTTGAAAAGACAACCTACACAATGGAAAAAAATATTTGCCAACTATTCATCCACAAAGAGAGTATTTCCAGAAAATATAAGGAACTCAAACAACACAAAAGTAAAATAATAATATGAATAAAATTAAGAAGCAATAAATGGGATGGAGTCAAACTAAAAGGCTTCTTCTCAGCAAAAGAAACAATCAATGAGATGAAGAGAAAGCCTACAGTATGGGAGCAAATTTTTACCACATGCACATCAGATTGAGCACTAATCTCCAGGGTATATAGAACTCAAAAAACTTAGCACCAAACAAACAAACAACCCAATCAATAAATAGGTTAAGGAACTGAACATATGCTTCTCGGAAGAAGATATACAATCGATTAACAAATATATTGAAAAATGTTCAACATCTCTAGTAATTAGACAAATGCAAATCAAAACAACTCAAAGATTTCATCTCATTCCAGTCAGAATGGCAGTTATCAAAATACAAAAAACAATAAGTGTTGGCAAAGATGTGGGGGGGAAAGGCACATTCATACATTGCTGGTGGGACCGCAAATTGGAGCAACCAATCTGGTAAGTAGTATGGAGATTCCTTAAAAAACTTGGAACCACCTTTTGACCCAGCTATCCCATTCCTTGGTATATACCCAAAGGACTTAAAATCAGCATACTACAGTGATGTAGCCGCATCAATGTTTATAGCAGCACAATTCACAATAGCCAAACTGTGGAACAATCTAGATGCCCTTCAGTAGATGAATGGATTAAGAAACTATGAGATATATATACACACACACACACACACACAATGGAATATTACTCAGCAATAAAAGAGAATAAAATTATGGCATTTGCAGGTAAAGGGATGGAGTTGGAGAATATCATGCTAAGTGAAGTAAGCCAATCCCAAAAAACAAATGCTGAATGTTTTCTCTGATAAGTGGATACTAATCTATAATGAGGGGGAGCATGGATGGGATGAGTGAAGGAACTTTGGATTGGACAAAGGGGAGGGAGGAGAGAGGGAAGGGGCATGGGGATAGGAAAGATGTTGGAATGAGACAGACATCATTACCGTAAGTACATGTATGATTGCACGAAGGTATGATCCTACTTCGTGTACAACCAGAGAAGTGAAAATTTGTGCTCTTTGTGTACAATTAATCAAAGAGCATTCTGCTGTCATGTATAACTGATTAGAACAAATTTTAAAAATTAAAAAATAATAATAATATAATTTTAAATGGATGAAGCCAGGCAGGGAGTCCTGAACACCTGAAATCCCATCTACTCAGGGACACTGAGGCAAAAGAATCACAAGCCTAAGACCAGCCTTTAATTTAAATGCACAAATACTCTATCTCAAAATAAAACTAAAAAGGATAGGGTATGTAGCTCAGTGATTGAGCACCCTGGGTTCAATAAATAGCACCCCAGGTTCAATACCCAAAACTGAAGAAAAATAAAATTTTTAAAGAGGTAAATGACCCAAGTAGACCTGTCTAAAAAAAAAAAAAAGGAAATACAAGCTGCATGTGATGGTGCACAAATGTAATCCCAGCTATTCAGGAGGCTGAGGCAGGAGAATTGCTAGTTTGAGAACAGCCTTGGCAATTCAAAGAGACCCTGTCTCAAAATAAAAAACATAAAGGGGTATGGCTCAGTTGTAGAGCATCCCTGGGTTCATTCAGGTACTGAGAAGGAAAAAAAAATGCTAACAAGAATACAGAGAAAGGAGGGAAATTCTCATATGCTATTGATAGAAAAGTAAATTAGTATAGCCATTATAGAAAACAGTAAGCAGTTTCCTCAAAACTAGCAATAGAACTATCATATGATCCAGCAATCCCACTATTGGGCACTGGGTATACCAAAGAAAAAAAATGAAATCAGTATGTTGAACAGACATCTATCTGCACTCCCATGTTTATCGCAGCACTGTTCACAACAGCCAAGACAAGCTAGATGTCTATCAATGTCAGCAGGAGCACACACTGCAGAATTATATATAGAATAGAGCTGGGCATGATGGTGCACACCTATAATCCAAGTTACTCAAGAAGTTGAGGCAGGAATATTACAAATTCAAGACCAGGCTGGGAACATTAGCGAGACCCTGTTTCAAAATAAAATAAAAAGGGATGGGAGCATAAGTCAGTAATAGAGCACTTACCTACCTTGAGTTAGGTCCTGAGTTCAATGCCCAATAACCCCACCCCACCCCACCCAAAAAAAAAAAAATCTGTTCTTTTAAAAGACATGACAAGGGCTGGAGTTGTGGCTCAGTGGCAGAGTACTTGCCTAGCATGTGTGAGGCCCTGGTTTTGGTTCTCAGCACCAAATATAAATAAATTAATTAATTAAATAAAGGTCCATCAACATCTAAAAAAAATATTAAATAAATAAATAAAAGTCAACAAAACTACTAGCACTTTATTTTTTAAATTTTTTATTATTATTATTATTATTATTATTATTATTATTATTATTATTATTATTTTGGTACCAGTGATTGAACCCAGGAGCACTTAACCACGGAGTCACATCCCCAGCTCTTTTTATGTTTTGAGACAGGGCCTCACTAAGTTGCTGAGGCTGGCCTTAAATTTGTGATCCTCCTTCCTCAGCCTTCTGAGTTGCTGGGATTACAGGGTTGTGCTAGCCCTTCTTATTTGGTTTTGAGATAGGGAGAATTCAAGCTGCCCAGGCTGAATTCAAATTTGAAGTCCTCCTGCCTCAGCCTCTCTAGCAGCTGGGATACAAAGCACCAATCTCCACACTCAGTCAAAACTACTTCTCGGGCTGGGATGTGGCTCAAGCGGTAGCGCGTTCGCCTGGCATGCGTGCGGCCCGGGTTCGATCCTCAGCACCACATACAAAGATGTTGTGTCCGCCGATAACTAAAAAATAAATATTAGAATTCTCTCTTTTTCTCTCTCTCTCCCTCTCTCACTCTCTCTTTAAAAAAAAAAAAAAAAAACTACTTCTCTTGAAAGAGCAAGAAAAAAATTCAGGAAAAGCACACTAAATGCTAATAGGCTTAGCATGAGAAGTTGGAGAAAGGTGAGTTGCTTGCTTTCATTTACACTGTGGTACTGTTTGAAACACAAAGCATAGTTGTTTTTCTTTTTGCTTGCTGGGGATGAACCTGGGGCCTCCAGCATGCTAAGCACGCACCCAACCACTGAGCTACAACCCCAGCTCACAGTATACATTAATTTAAAAATCACAAAATAGGTGTTATCAAAGGCATTCCTTTCCAATTCCTTGCTTCCTGCCTGGATCCACACACCACCCCTTAGCCCAGTCCTCCACACCACACTCCTCCCCAACCCCACTTACAGATGCAGGCAGCCGCCAGCAGGCGGCCAGCGACATAGGGAGCACTGCAGCTGGGGAAGAGAGGTTGCACCATGTAGTTGGCAAAGGTGATGGCAATGATGGCCTGGCCGGTGGGCTCAATGATGAGCAGGGAGGTCCAGAGGCGGATGAAGGCAAGCAGTCCCCCAAAGGCTTCCAGAATGTAGGCGTAGCTGGCCCCAGATTTCTTAATGGTGGTGCCCAGTTCCGCATAACAAAGGGCCCCAAAGACAGAGAAGAGGCCCCCAACAGCCCAGATGACCAGGGAGAGGCCAAAGGAGGCACTGTACATGAGCACACCTTTGGGGGAGACAAAGATTCCCGAACCAATCATGTTCCCCACAATAAGGCAAACGCCATTAAGTAGTGAGATCTCCTTCTTCAGCTTTATCTGCTGGGCTCCTGGGCTGGCCCCATGGCCCAAAGGAGAATCATCAGCCTCTTGCTGGGAGGCCACTTCATATTTGATGCTGTCAACCATGGTGGAGGAGAGGAGAGCCTTCACCAGCTTCCTGGCATTGCCCTCTAAGGAAGAAAGATGAGAAATATGGTGTAATTGATAAATGTGTAGTTCCCCACCCCTTACCCTACAGGGGCCAGTATGGGCAGCCCACCCACCACTCAGAGACCTCTCTTTTGCTTCCCACCTTGAAAACACCTCTTCTTCTGGCTGGCTCATCAAAATGACCCCAACTTGAATTTTTAAAAGGGAAAGCACCTGCCTCTTCATTATGATGATGCAGCCCAACTCATTTTCCAAGTAGAAAACTAAATCCTGGTTTTGCCTGAGCCAGCTGTAACACAAGACTAGTAAGTATGAAGGCAGTTTGGCAGCTCCCAAGTATAATTATAGTGGATTGACCCTGAGTTTTCAGACGTATCCAAAAAGTCTATCTTCTCTCTAATTTCAGTCTCACCTATCACCTGTGCTGAGATGCAACCAACCCTGCAAGCAGCTACTCTGTGGGATCTCCTCACAATGCTGTTCTCTTCCCCAAAGACACTCACTCTAGCAAATCTAGAGGCTTCAGAGCTTTCCTGCTAGAAACTAACAGCCATCTCCCTGCTCAAGGAGCATCCATTAACAACCCTCAGCTGGTGAATTCATCCCTGCCCAAACCCAAGCCACCCCACCCATCCTGAAAGAAGACAGACTTCTTTATGTTTTTCCTTTCCTAGATCCTTTTCCCAGTCTCTAGCATTCCAAGCCTCTCCTCATATTGGCATAGTTGTATCACTCAAAAATGTATGAATGAGAGATGGTGACCCAAATATACAGCAGAACCTAGAAATGAAAGGAGGAAGCTTCCCCTCTCTCCCCTACCCCTGGAGTTGCTGTTGGAGAGAGAGAGAGACCACTCAAAACCAAGGCAAGGAAATAGCTAAAACCAGGCAGCAGATGCAGGGAAACACAGAGCAGGAGACAGCTGAGAAGAAACTAGAAATAGCTAGTCAGGAAAATGAAGAGATACTAAGGCAAGAGGCACTGGGGAGAGGCAGGGATAGGATACTACAGAGCAGCCAGAGAAGCAGAGAGGAGTTAGCAGGGAAGTGCGACAAGAGGACAGGGTGAGACGCACACTCACTCCCTGGCCCTGGATACAAGCAGGTCCTCACAGCAGTAGCCAGCAGCAGTCACTGAGAGAAACGCGCCCTCCCAGAAGGATGGTCCAATTGTTCCTCCTCTCAACCAGCACTAAAGGGAAGGCCAGGCAAATGCCTAAGGATTTAAGTGAAGTCAGGAAGGGGGGTGGGGCAAGGGAGCAAGCAAAGGAAGGGGTGAGGAAAAGGAAGAGGAGAGTTAAGCAACCGTCTGGGTCCAAGGTTCACAGGCCCTTTGCATCTGCAAAAGGGGCAGCAAGGAGTTCTGGACTCAGCACTTTCTGCGATAAGAAGGCACTCTCTCAGGAATCTCCTTTGTCAGCTCTGCTCCAGGACTGAGGGCCCAGAAGAAAGGACAGCCAGCTGTGTGCCTTTTCTGTCTAATGGGGAAGTTATGCCCCAACAAGTTAGCTGAAGACAGGGCGGTGGCACAGACCCCTCTCCGTCCTCTATGCCCCACCCTATCCTCACTTCTCCTCACCCCAAACAATTAAGAAAGGCAGGAAGGTTGCAGAGTGTGACACAAAGACTTGTTCACATGCTGAGAATTAGAGGAAGTATAAGAGCCATTCCTATACCCCATGATTGGGTCTCCTAAGAGGAGAACTCTACACACTTCCCCATGCAGAGACGGGTGGCTACTTGGGTCATTATCCAAAGTCTGAACCTCAAACTACTTTAAAGGAAAAAAAGTCAAGAAATGAGATCAAACCTCTAGCTACATCTCTCTCTCCATCCCATCATTCTTAGGAAAAAAAAAAATCAAGATCTCTAGAGTATCCATAACTCTTTGCATATACCTTCTCCAAATACAACATGGCTCCAATTTCTTAAAAATATGGAGAGGGCTAAGATTGTAGTTAAATGATACAGTGCTTGCCTAGAAAAATAAATAAATAAATTGGAAATAAGATATCTGTGAGCTATCCTGGCCATACAGGCCCAGAACAAGCAGAAGTTGGCCAGTTTTTAGAAATCACGCAGTTTAGTCTATCTCTATAGTCTACTTTAAATCTGATGTTCTGGACTATTATCAACAGAAATACACTCTATCCTTTCTGAATTCCAACTGTCAGCCCCTTCTTACATTCTTCCTAATCCATTTTTTGTTATTCTATAACAAGAGAACAGAGATCTAAATATCCCTGGGAAACTGATCTCTACTCTTCATGCTCCCATTCTAGCTCCTTAAACTTGCACCCCCAAATATGCTCCTGTAATAATTACAGAACTTATTGAGATTTAATCAGGCCAGACACACAGCTAAGCCCTTGAATGAGTTATCTCATTGAACCCTCCCTACAGCCTATGGGCAGGTATGTTCACTATGCCTTCTATGGGGGCAGGTATGTTCACTAGCAGGGTGCCAGTAAAAAGGGAGGCAGCTAAAACCCAGAGCACACATAACACTTGTAATCACAGAACTATGCTATCTCCACAACGTCCCACCCCTTCAACCTGCCCTAGTCTCTAAGGCTTCCTGTCAGACAGCAAATCACTTCAGGTGGCTCCCTAATGAATTACCTGGGGGATGATATGATTAGATTAAAAAGAAAGCCTCTGGCCTCCTCTGTCCACCTACTTCCTGGCTGCTCCCGGGAGAGGATAAGAAATAATTATAAGACCTGTTAGTGCTGGGGTTGTGGCTCAGTGGTAGAGCCAATCATGTGTGAGGCACTGGGTTCAATTCTCAACACCACATATAAATAAATGAATAAAATAAAGGTTCATCAATGTCTAAAAAAAAGACCTGTTGGCAGCACTGAAATTATTAGGGTACCCATTTCTAGTGCAAACAGAAACACAAACCACTCCTGCCTTTTTAAGACCACATTCATTGGCACCAAGGGGTGAGCATGTGTCTCAATGTGACCTCAAGAAAAAAAATGAAAGAGAGACAAAGGAAAGGAAAACAGTAAGGGAGCACAAGGAGAGAAGTGTACAAGAATGAGTTCATGACTGGTAATATCAGAAAAGTGAAGTCCTCTCAAGGAACTTGAGACAAATCCAACTACTCTCTAGCAAACAGCATGCCCTAGTGGTCTCACCAGGAAATGTTGAGTGGAATCTCCTAGCCTCACCAACTGGTCAGGGGAGGCTGTCATTCATGGAGATATCCCTTCTTTTCTCATCTACAGCCTACCACCATAGACAAGAATGCAGCACCTCTGGCATCTCACTCCTCCCTGAGGACCTCAGTTTCAGGGTAATGATTCTATCTTCAGGCACTCTGGGCCAAGCAGCACCTCCAGGCTCTCCCAAAGAGGTTCTGCCACCCTGGCTTTACAAAAGCCTTATAAGATAACAGCACCCCTCATGACCTTTCTCTTTTTTTGGGTGTCATCTCTGAGGACCCTGTGAATATTACAGAACCACACACTCCTCTTATAGCTGTGGAAGAAGTGTCAGGCTCAAGGGTTCAGGAAAGCAGGAAGCAGGGCCCCTAGCTAGCATGCGCCTGGCAGAGCAGCCAGTGGAGCCCGGTGCCCTGATCCCACCCCCCAAAACCAACACCAAAACACACTTCTCCGGGAACCAGCACACAGTTCTGGGTCATGGCTCCTCAGCCAAGTTCAGGGAGCTACTGTAAGAATATGCTATCTCTCCCAGATACCCCCATGGCCTGCCTTTCTGGCTCCAACTAGTCTGTGTTGCCTCCCCTAACAACAGAAACCAAACAGACACATGCTGGTATGGCTGGATTCCCCATCACTCCAAGCTACATGCTCAGCCCCTCCCTCTCCAGTTCTCCATTTGTTTTTCTATACTCCACTGTAGCTGCGATCTTCCTTCGTGTGTGTTTGGGGGAGGGGGGATGTGAAACAAGAAAACAAATTGTTTAGTCCTATGACCAGAGTTCCCATTAACAAGGGCTGAAGTCTCTGGGCCAGAGACTGCCTAGTGAGGCCAGGGCTGGGATCAGGAACTAAGACTTGAATCTCCCTCCGGTTGATTTTCAGGACGCACTCCATCCTCTCCTTCTCTTCCCCCCTCGCCCATTGTCCCTCTCCCACCTCTTACCTGTCTCTTGACCTTTGGGAAAGTGCAGGGAGGAGGGGCTACCAGCAAGCCCTGGGAAGGGGGCCAGGGAAGGTGATAGTTAGGGGTAACAGGGGTATGGCTCGTGCTGCAGCAGCTGTTGACTCTGAGGAGCAGAAAAGGCAGAGGGTGACGGGGACCGAAACGGAAAAACAGGAAAACACATGTGCGACTCTGGCCGGCAGCGGGGAGGGGCTACGGGGACGGGGTGGAGCTCGGATTGCCTGGACCAACCCAGAGATTCTTGCTCGCTCGGCCTCCAGGCACCTTCTCCACTGTCTCAGCTCCACCTCCTCTCCACACCAACCCCTGATCTTCCTTGTTGTCTTAAGTTTACTAAGCACTTTAGTTTTCCTTGCAATTTACACTGCCCTCCAGAGGATCCTTACAATTCCCCACCTCCCCTCTTCCCCTCATTCCTTTTCTTACTCCCTCTCCCACTCACAGACTGTGTTTAGTCCTACAGGGGCATAGGATCCTATGGTTAGGGCAATGGAACTCTGCCATCCCATCTCAAGAGTTTCCAAGCCATTTCAGCACCTAAAGCAAGTCAAAGAAGATAATATACACCAAAGAGGGCCCCCATGGGTGCAGCCAAGCATACATCAAGACATCAAACAAGCCCACTCATTGCCCAGTTCCCCAAATGGTTCAGGTAATGTTCAAGTGTGAGTCTGCGTTGCCAGGTAAGAGCTAACAATGCTGTGGCACCCTGGGCAGATTCCTGAGTTGCTGCAAACTACTATTTAAATATATGGAAGCTGGGCATGATGGCCCATACCTGTAATCCCACAGACTGAGGCAGGAGGATCACAAGTTCAGGGCCAACTTCAGCAATTTAGCTAGACCCTCAGCAATTAGCATGACTCTATCTCAAAATTGAA